TGTAAGACGTGTGGTGACGAATACATTGGCGAAACGGGCAGACCCCTCTGTGTTCGCATAAAAGAACACCTAGCCGGCAAAAATAGACCAAATACCCCGCTAGGCACGCATAGGACTCAGAGACATAACGGGGACGACTTCGAAGTATGTGTCACGATCCTCGCACGCGAATCAAGAACACAGGCGCGAAAAACTCTCGAGGCACTCTGGATTAATTCCAGAAATCCGAAAATGAACCGCAGGGAAGAATGCCTCATTATCACACGTGATATAGGGCGGNAAGGACTCCACCACGCACGCGCTGTTGGGCTGCGCAGTACGTAGACGATCCAGAAATATCTGGGTATTCGTAAGATGAGCTGGAATGTGATGGGAAATCGTAGGCCTGCAAACGACAACTCTAGCGATAGAAGGGTCCCGTTTATCCTACCCTTCATCTCAAATGATATAAGTACAGCTATAAAACGCTGCTTAAGAAGGGCGGGCTTAGAGAATTCGGTGAGCGTAGTTGAAATACCACCGAGTAATCTTAAGCGTCAGCTAGTTTGTAACCGCCTATATGACCGTCTGTGTGCAACTCAAAATTGCATAATTTGCCCCAGTGGTAGAGACGGTGATTGCATGAGCTCGGGTATAGTTTACCTGATTTCCTGTAAGACGTGTGGTGACGAATACATTGGCGAAACGGGCAGACCCCTCTGTGTTCGCATAAAAGAACACCTAGCCGGCAAAAATAGACCAAATACCCCGCTAGGCACGCATAGGACTCAGAGACATAACGGGGACGACTTCGAAGTATGTGTCACGATCCTCGCACGCGAATCAAGAACACAGGCGCGAAAAACTCTCGAGGCACTCTGGATTAATTCCAGAAATCCGAAAATGAACCGCAGGGAAGAATGCCTCATTATCACACGTGATATAGGGCGGTATATAAAACTGCTTTTCTGATGTGAGGGGCACATTATACTTCCATGTGATTTCTGTGCGGTTGGTCTCTACGTGACATACTTAGTGGAAACCTCATAGGAAGCGGTAAGTTTGCAAAGCTGTGTTCAAAGTGATTGAAATCTTGGTTTAGAGTTTCTTTGTTTGGTTATGGAGGCGTCTGGCCGAGTAGATTGCTATCAACTTGACCTTTCCAGGCTCTGAGGAAGGCGAAATCCTCCGAAACGTCAGCTTAATGGTGAACAAAGAATAATAACGCCTCGCGTTTGCTCTACAAAAATGCGAAGAAAATTACTTGATCAATGCCGAGGTTAATAGAAAGTCGGTCGTGGCAGTTAAAGTCATTAATCCTGAAAAAAATCTGTTATACGGTGTTTATATAACTGGCACCACTTTTAACCAAGGAATCCAAACAATGTAGTTTACAGCCATTCATTTTCGGATGAATACATCAAATAAAACTCAATGTGGTAGATAAAATCTTCTATGATTGCGTTCATTTCATCTTCAGGCACCCATGACTGTCCCGTGGGGCTATCTGCAGCCAGTCCCGATTAGTATTATTCCTCCAGGCACTGTACCTATACCCATTCAGGTACACTTCTTTCTGAGTTTCTCTTTCGACTTTTGAATTCATGTTGTAATACTTGACTAAAATAATATATTCGGCTGTCATCATATTTCTGTACGAAATTCAGGATCCCAGTATGTCTGTAGCGGAAGGAAAGCCAAAATGTCATGTTAGCGCTGCCGAACAGTTGGCACAGGTGAATCCGACGAACTTCTGCTGGGCGTCTATTACACCAAATCCAGGTATATCAATGTATTTCCAACATGAACTGTTCATACAGCTTATTGTTATATGTTATATATTGTTATTTATTATTAATATAGTTATATGTTTAAAAAAAACTTTTGAGTACATTTTGCACCAAAGAAGATTGTTGTTCTTGTGAACTTAAGGAAGATGTTACAATAATGTTTCCTTCTTGCTTCTACACCTGAAGTTTTAGTACCCGTAGCCATACCGATCCCGACTCCGGTTACAATTAATAATGCTCCTGTTGATCCATGCCAGGAACCTCGTGATTCTCCTACATTTACGCCACCACAAAGATCTACCTACGAAGGTTATTCCACTTTTTTTTTTACTACTTATGTATATTTTTGAAGGTGGGAAATTGTAATCGTCGTAATATTTCGTCTGTCTTCGGTTCATATGGAAAATGATGACGATAACTTTTAACTTGATTCTAGCATACGATAGTTCCGTTTCGACTAGTCACGATAGTATACCAGTTACAACTAACTCTAATATGTCCAAACATGAGAGAGATCAACGAAGGTCGGCTGTGGACTATGACGAGCAGATTGCCGAAAAGAAACGGTTAGTTTTATGTAGTGTACACTGATCAAGGTTTATAAATAAATTATAATAAAAAAAATAAAGGATAAAGCTCTCAGCGTTGACCAATTCCTGAAGGATGCGCCATGTATTCGACTTCATTAAGCGTCGTTTAGAGGTGATTGAATGCATATTTGTCCTTTACAATGACTCGCGGTAGCCTACCGATATATCGAGCCAGTGCTGCTATCCTCCCAGACAAGTTTGGTACCAATTTACCGAACCCGGAGGGATGGAAGGCTTGGTGGGTCGTGGGCGTGGGAATCGACTCCACGTGTGTCGCAAGGCGCCTCCGACCACTGCGCCACACGCGCCCTAAATAAGAATATGCGAAGTTTTATGGCAGAGATGAGAAGTGTTGCCTTTCTGAGAATCATCAATGTTTCTTCTACTGAGGAAGAATATATGTAACGTTTGTAATTTGTAGGATCGAAGCTGAAGAAGCAGAACGAAATCGTTGCGAAGAAGAGAAGATCGTGCGTGAAAGAGAAGCACAAATTCGAAGAAAAGAAGAAGAACAACGAAGACATTTGGAGGCGGAGTATTTAAGGGAGCAAGTAATATTTTCACAAGTAGTATAAATCTTGAGTACGAAGGGAAGGATGTAAAAGATATTGTCTTATTTCTAACGTGAAATTTTCTTCTTGTTTTAGCAAAAGGAACGAGTTAGGAAAGTTCTGGAAGAGGCTTTGGAACGAGCCAAACATGAAGCCGAAATCACTAGGAAAGCCAAAGTTTATAAGCATGTTCTCGAAGCAGCTGACAAAACTCCTGAATTGGAAAGGCGTCTACTTGGTGTTGATCCTGAGACAGGAGATAGGATTCTTCAAGAGGTTCAGTTCGTTCTTGTGCGATAATCTTTTACCTCTGTACATAGCTGAGAGTAATGTCGTGATTACTCAAATTAAACTGCTTTAGATAAATCAGTTAGAGCGACATAAAAAGCTGGATAGAGAAGCCATTGATAAGATGTCACCGAAGTTAGATGGAACTGGTCAACGTGAGAAATCTCCGAACCAGCGTCGATCCAAACTAAATACTGTTAGTATAGCTTTCTTTCTTCGCTGTTATCCTATTGTGAGCTTCGGCATAACCCTTTTATTTTCTAGAGCGCTCGTTCACAGTCGCGACAGACAATTTCTGAAGCAGAAATGATGTCAGTGGCGGGAAACGACGGAGGAAAGACATCGCCGAGAAGAAAACAAATTGCATCTGCACATCAGTTCGTCTTAGCCGATGATCACCCCATTAGGCGTGCCAATGAATTCTCAGGTTATCAGAAAGCTTCATGTTTCGTTGAGAATTAACTTGTGAACAGTTGTTCCCTGAAAAAGAAATTGCTTCAGTCTCCAGGAAAATCAAGGGTGCGTGTGGCGTAGTGGGGATACCCATGGGATCGATCGCGGCGCCCTGGGCTCACCAAGCTCTCCGTCCCCCCTGGGTCGGCGATTTGGTACCAGACTTGTTTGGGAGGTTGGCAGCACTGGTTCGATGCATCGGTGGGCCATCGTGAGTAATTATATAGACCAGATATGCATTCAATCACCTCCAGACGATGCTTAATGAAGTCGAGTGCATGGCGCGTCGTCATGGATTGATCAACGTCTAGAGCATTATCCTTTATCCTCCAGGAAAATTGCAGTTTAAATATCCTGTGAGCTAATATCTATTACTAAAGTGTTTTAAGTGGCCCGAAACTGTTCCTTGTGCTTAATTCCCTGCGCTCAAAATATGAGAATTAATTTTAGAGCGTCTGCTTTAGTTTGTTTGGCAGTTCCTTGATTTACGAGCGATTTGATCATTGTCTTTTATTTCTAATGAAATTCCAATTTAAGGCGTACATCAAACGCTTAGTTCCAACAATGCCAGCACACCATTTCGAAGAATCGACGTGGGACGAATGTCAGTGAGAGTGACACGAAAAGAGAAAGAGAACGCAACAGCCGGAAACTTTAGGGAAAGTTCAGCGCAAGCACCGAAGTAAGTCTAAAAAAGCTAAAAAGAAGTGGCGAGGTGGTTTAAAAGGGAAGTGAAGTGGTGGTTTTCATCTACTGCTTACATGATCATCCAATACAGTATATCATACCTTTCGAAGGAATTCATGAGCATTGCTGATGCTCTGAAATTTTTATGGTTGTGTTTAATAATGTGGGAATTCTATGAGATGAAATCATTTTCGCTGCCGCCTTGATTTTCGTCTACACAGACCACCAACGATCTTCGTTCATTGGAAAATGGGATAAAGCCAAAAACGACACCTGACAACAAAATAATGGCATATTGGAGCCAAATGTAGCAGTTCCCAGGATCGACTTTCTCTTAACCTCGGCACTGGAATATGAATGTGTCGTTTTCTTGTTCAGCAATCGCGAGGTTT